TTAGCAATAAGTAAATAAAAGTGCATCTCAAAATGCAATGATGGCCTGATAGTAGATTATGAAGAATGTGATGACGCCAATGGAATTTAATTTGATGGTGCTATAAATGCTAATTAAGCTGCTAATTAGAATGCAAAGAATGTGTATAATAATAATGCTACTCTTGTATTGAAGGTTGGTAGATTATAAATTATCAATGTTATCAAATATGTGGAGATGGATTGATAGCTTTTAATTCAATTGAATAATGTGATGATGCAAATCAGATTCAAAGTGATGGGTGTTTTGAATGCCAACTCGAATGTGATCCTAATTGCCTAACATGCTTAAATAACTAAATTTGTGCTCTTTGTTAAGATTACTTTCAATTAGAAGGGTAATTATGCTTACCTGTATGTGGTGATGGTATCGTTATTCCTGCATTTGAGGATTGTGATGATGGAAATATAGAATCAAATGATGGGTGTTATTAATGCTAATTTTAATGCTAAAAAGGCTGTCTTGATTGTGAAAAAGGATTATATTGCAAAAAATGCGATAGTTAATACATCTTAAATAATGAAACTGCTTAATGTTAAGAGATCGAATCAGAGAATGTATAGAATTAAGATGATATTGAGAATATCTAGAATATTATTTGCAGCAAAAATTTCATTTTTATAGATTATGAATGTGTTAATTAATGTGGAAATGGAATTCTTAGTTTAAAATATGAATAATGTGATGATGGAAACTAAATCGGAGGAGATGGCTGCTCATTTTACTGTTTTGAGGAGGACTCCTATTAATGTTAAAATCATGAAAACAGTATGAGCATGTGTTCCTACATTTTACCTCCTGACTTTATGTTATAACGTCTCTCTAGCTAATCAAACGACACTTAAGTAATTGAATTAAGGTTCACGCAAAAAGTCAAATTACTAGTTGATTTAAACTTTGAAGATATTGCAGTCGTTTTTCTTATTCCAAAAACCAATGAAGTAATTAATATCAAACCGATTGTCAAGTTATCCACAACATTTGATAATCCAATTTATTAATTTTTTATTAACTTCAGAGAAGCTATAAATGATCCTGTTCTTTAGGTTAATTTGGCTTAATAAACAATTATAAATGAAAATAATTTAGATTTAAAGAGAAATGAGTTGCAAGTCAGTCTAGGTAACCCTTTTGTTTTATCTGAAAGTACACAAAAAAAAGTGACATAAATTGTTCTTTTGAATGATGGAATGATTTATTCCATGATTGGCATTTCAGGTTTATCTTTACTAAGTGGTAATGCTATAATGTTTTTCGCTTTATTAGATCTATTACAATCTTTATCCTATATGAGAACGTATGTCATATTAATTTCCACCTCATTTAATATAATTTGTTAACACTTTTACTAAATTAACATTAATACCAATATTTTATTA